TCAAATTGTTCCAGCTTTGTCACTGGGAGTTCTTTCAGTTGGGTCCTGTGTCCCTTTGATATAGACCCATCTTTCTTTCTCTTTTTTCTTTTCTTTCCTTCCTCCCTCCTTCCCTTCTTTCCTTTCTTCCTTCCATTTTTGAGCACTTCCTTACTTTCTGGCGCTACAAGATACTCCAGGCTCATCTTGAATACTTCCTGTCATACTCCTAGAGTCAGCCATTTCTCCAAGGAGCTTGCCTTCCTTTTACTGGAGAATGTTATTAGAAAACAAGATCTTACATACAGTTTTCAGATTAAAGGACAGTATACTTTTAAAAGAATATTCAAATTAGAGTAAAAACTAAGATCTAATAACAAACAAACAAAATTCACAGAACTGTATTTCTTTTTTTGCTGTTTTTCACTTAGGACAAAAATAAACATAACCTCATTAGTATCTAAAATGTACAAAATAAAATATAAAACTTTTTTGCCCTAAACTGGCAGCAAAGAATTTTCTTAATAACAACATGTAATGGGATGCCAAGGGTAAGATAAAACTGGTAGTGTGGTAAATTGCTACAATCCTTTTGAGAAACAATTTGGCAAGTGACTTAAATTTTCTTGATCTAGTAATTCTACTTCTGAGAATTTATATTAAGGAAATAATCCAAACTATGGGTAAAGCTCTAAGTACAAACGTGTTAATGCTATTGCATTATTTATAATATGAAAAGTTGGGAATCAGTCTACAAATCCAAGTTGGGATGTGACTAAGTACATTTTTATATATTTCAGTGAGAATATTATGCTGTTATTAAAAATGACAATAAACCAATAATGAACTATTAAGTGAAAAAAACTGGAACAGGTACACTCTGAATACAAAAATAACTAGGAAGAAATTTAAAATGTAAAGTGGTTGAAGTCATGAAATTTTTCTTTGTCTTTTTGCCTAGTGCAGTTATATTACTGTTATACTGGGAGAAAATCTTAAAATAGACCACACTGCTAATATGTGAGTATTTGTTTATTGACATATGACCTATCAGCTATTATGTACCTTGTATATCAATCTTTAAAAAAAAGGAAACACTAAAAGAATAATATATAAATAGAAATTTCGCTATCTTTTCCTGATGCTCCAATTGATGTCCTGGGCATCCTCCCCCACCCCCATCCCTGCTGTGGTGTCTACTCTCCATATGAGAGTATGGTATAGTGAAAAAAGTGTGGCCTTAATGATCAAAAGGACTTTGGTTTGAATCTTAGCTCTGCCACACACTAGCTCTAGATGCCCTAGGTAACTGCTTAATGTTCTGAGCCAACGGTTCCATCTGTAAAATGGTAATAAATAATACCTATGTCACACAGTTGTATGAATTGAATAAGGCATGTGTCTTTTATAGAAAAATCATCCCACAAATCCTAGTACTGTCATCAATTTTGACTGCTCCTTCAATAGTATGTTATTCTATTTCTGCACCAGTTCACTTTTCTTCTCTCTCCAACTACTATTTCAAACTTTCTCTGCTCTCTCAAACCTCAATCAACCCACTTCTGCCTTCCTTCTTAGCTGATGATCTCACATACAACTTTAGGAGAAGTCACAAGTCATCTCGGCATCCTGCCAAAGCTGTAAACATAAACCTGCATCTGTACACATAACATCTTCCTTACTTTTTTAATCACTTAACAAATATTTACTGAGTACCTTTTACATGTCAGATACTGCTCTGGGCACTGATGATGGTGTAGTGAACAGCACAGATAAAGTTCACGTCCTTGTAGAACTTACATTCTAGTGATGGTATTAAAAAAAAAAAGGCATGAACAGATGAATATAGAGTGTGTTACAGGACGGTAAATGCCATGGAGAATACAGCAAGGTAGGGAATGCCAAGGACAGAAGGGTTGCTATTTTATATAGAGGGGTCCTAAAAACCCTTATCAGGTACCATTTGAGCAGAGACATGAAGACCTGGCCATGTAGTTATCTGTGGGAAGAGTGCTCCAAGTCAAGGGGAAATAGTGGGTTTCAAGGCCCCTGAAGGAGGAACATGATTAGCATGTTGATGGAACAGCACGGAAGCCAATGTGACTGGAGCAGCACTAAAGAGGGGAAGAGTAGGTCAGAGAGGGGGTACAGTCCAGGCCATGAACAGCCTTGTAGGCCACAATACTGAATGAGGTTTTTACTCAGAGAAACCCCAAATATCACAGGAAAGTTCTCAGTAGACAAATGATATGATCTGTCCTATCTTTTGAAAGGATCACTCTGGCTACTGTGTTGAAAATACACAGAAGGGGGCAAGAACCAAGGCAAGGAAATCTGTGAAGAGGCTACTACATACATATGAGAGTTGATGGTGGCTTGACCAGGGTGGTGGCAATGGAGGGGGCATGAGCTCACCCTGTGGACATATTCTGAAGGTTGGCCTACAGATTTTGCTGACTGGTTGGATGTGGGGTCTGAAAGAAAAAGAGTAGCCAAGGATGACTCCTGGGTTTCATCCTGAACAACTGGAAAAATGGAGTTTTCATTACTGAGATGGGAAAATGTTAGGAATTGGAGGATTGGGGAAATGGGTGAGAAATCAGAAGTTTGTTTTCAGATAAGCTGAATTTGAAATTCCTAATAGATGTCAAATAGGTAGCTGAAAATGAGTCAAGTTTGGGAGAAAGGACCAGGCTAATGTATTAACTTGAGAGCTATAGCAATGAGATGATATATAAGTCATACAACTAAATGAAATCAACAAGGGAACAAAGGTAGACATATAAGAAAACAGGTCCAGAGATTAGGCTTGAGATAATCCAAAGCTTTAGGTGTCCAAGAGATATGAGGAACTAGCAAAGGATACCAAGAAGGTGCTGCTAGTGTGGATAGAAAGAATTAGTTTGATGAGAAAGAGGATAAGAATATTCTTGAAAGATAATCCTGCCATGGCGTACACAGGACACTACATGTAGTTAAGAACTACTAGAGTATAAAGTAGAAAGTCAGAAGTTTAGATGAGAGTCATTGTTGCTAGTCAACGGAGACTGGACATTACCCTGTGGGGACACGTGAAGTCACAGAGTAAAGGAGTAGAATGAATGTGTTGAATTTGTTTTAGACGGATCACTTGAGCTTCAGGGTAGAGGATGAATTTTTGTGGGGTTCTGGGAAGGAAATGTAGGCAAGACTATAAACACTTGATCTTAGCCAAAAGGCCAAAAAGCAATAAGACTGTAAACAGAGGACACCACAGGAGAAGACTACAATGTCTCGGACAAGGGAAATCTCTGAGATTCTGAATTAGGGCAATGATTAAAAACAGAGCTGGAGTTAAAAAAAAAGAAAAATCTGGAAGTGAAAACATCAACAGGATTTGCATAGTGGGGAAGGGGTGAGGAAGAGGGAGGATTTAAGCCCAGTTGCCAAGCTTCTGGCTTGAATGATGAGATGATGGCAGTGGCATTAATCAACACAAGAAACAGATGAGTCACGTGGGGGAAGGAGAAGGTGACAACTTCAGTTGTTGATGTTTTTGTATTTGAGGTGTCCAGAATGATGAAGGAGTTGTGTTTGGCAGAAAGATACATAATAAGTTTGAAACTCAGAGGGAAGTCCAGAACTGGAAATAGATTTGGGAGATATCAAAACAGAGGTTGTAAGTAAACCACCAGAATGGATGAGATTCCCTATGACAGAAGTCAGCATTTTCCCTGAAACTCACACACTATAAGGTCAGGATGGGAGTAAGAGAGACGATGGAAAGAAGCAAATATGGTAGGAGGGAGGTAAAAGAGGGAAGAAAAAAAAAAGTCAAGAGCAAAATAAAAAAGGCTGTATATAAAGTATTCTTGGTGAGGCATACCATTGATTCTGTGAAAATATCTGTGGTTTTGTTTTTAACATCTTTCTCCAGACCAAATAGCATATTTATTGGCCTTTTGACCACATCATTTCAAACTGATTACTTCAGGAAACAATCTACAGTGATGCCAATCTACAGTAATACCTTTTTTTTCTTCTTAATTTGCCCTACTAAAACTCCACTGTTAATACTGATAGCCACGTTTATTTCTATTCAACAAACATGTATTGGACTACGGGCCAAAGATACAAAAATGAGTAAGACACAGCCCTTTGCTCCATAAACATTTAACCAGGATGAAATGTTCAGAAACAAATAGAATGATCTTTCAAAATGACAATTTGATCATATCAGTCTACTTAAAACCTTCTGCAGCAGAGATTGCTAGCTGTCCCCCAATAACCACTCTTCTCTTCTATAGTGGTTAAATGGCCATTGAGAATAAAGACTTCATGCAGGCATTCCATGTGAGTAGATGCGGCCACATAACTAAGTTCTAAACGTAAGTGGAAATGGCATCAGCAACATCCAGAAAGTGTCTTTGAAGGGAAGGACATTTACTTCTCCTCTTTTCTACTTTGTCTGGCCTGCTGTATGGAAGGTAGATGTGATGGCTGGAACTAGAGCAGTCATTTTAGGCCAAGAGGTGACCTTGGGAATGGAGGCTACACATGGCTGAGCATCCAGATAGAAGGAGCCTGCATACCTGGAAGCTGTGCACTAGTTACACACTTTTTGAATGTAGAGAGATTAGTCAAACCATTATTTCGTTGTTGTTGCTGTCGTTTCTGGTTGCTGACAGCCAACTAACACATCTTTAGTATGATAATTATAATAGAATGTTGTCTACCTTCCAGCTATCCATCTATATATCTACATCTGTCTATGTCTATCCATCCATCCTGATGTCTGACTCTAAAGTAGAAATGGAATGCATAACAGATTTAATGTGAGAAATATAACACTCATCTGGTACAAAATATTTACCAGGTGGAAATTCAAGTATTTATCAACACACATTAATTTTTAAAAAAAATCCAAAAGTCACTTCACTCAATTAGTTAGAAATATTAATAAAAAGAATAAAATTCATTCTGCAGACATCAGTATTATTGATTTCTATCTTTAGGATAACTTTACTAATATTTTAACTTACTTCTTTTGAAGGATTCATTGGTAACGTAAAGATAGTTTTCCAGTACGACCAGACAAACATTGCAAAAAGTAGATGATAGGCCATCAGGCACACAACTAAAATGAGAGAAACATAATCATTATTGTAATGTGCAAATACATACTAAACCATGGTATTCACAAAAGATCTGCTTATTTTTACAATAACCAAGCTTCCAATTTATTATAATTGGAAGTTCATTTACATCATACTAGAATAAGCACAACTCAATAAATATATACCTAAAGATAAGAGTTAAAAACAAAAAAACAAGAAAAACCCCTAAATGCATAATTAGACCTATGCTCATGAATAGAACCCTCCCATCTGTAGACAGGTCCATCTATTAGCAAATTGGCTAACATTTCCTAAATTCCTATATTGTAAAAATAAGGTGGTTATGCCTGCAATTTTAAAGAGTAAATACAGCATTAAACAAATGTTAAAATATTCAGCTTTAAGAACTTTGCTTTACTGACATAGATAAACAAAAGCAGTTCCTATGCGAGAAGCTGTTCGCTTATTTGTTTAGTTCTAATCAAAACTGGTGTAATGACAACATATTTAAATAGAAACCATCTAGACAAAGATTTCCTTCAGTGGGAGTTCAAGTGTCTTATCTACCACATGGGACAATTGTTAAGAAAAGCATTCTGAATATTTTTTTCAGGTAACGTATATAAACACACTTTGTGTGGTGTTTTAAAATCTTGAAGTACTGCACAAATTTTAAATATTAATTTTGTATATTGTGATAGTGATTCTTTCTGGGTAATACAATAATATACAACTTAATTCTGTAAGATATAGTTAAATAAAATATGCTAATTTAAAATACAGTGGTTGGTGTTTTAAAACTTCAATAGCAATTTTTAATTATTCTAAAGAATGATGATACTTATATTTATAATTATTAAAAACTTGTATTATCCAATAAGGCACTTAAATCATTGTGAGATGACTAGAGCCAATGATATTTTTCATGAATTATGTAGGTGGCTCAGTTATGGGGTAATACTCTGAAATGGGACAGGAGATTGTTGATGTACCTGTAACTTGAAGCCATAAGAATCTTTGGCACAATTCTGGCCATTTCAGAATAGAGTTCTTTGCCAAGGGTCTGAGAGAATTCAGTCTCAGGACTTAGAGAAATGAGCTGTCTTTCACCCTGTCCATCTCCAAATGCTCAAAGAATAACTTACTAACCCCAACCAAGTCTAAAGAATGCAATTTGTTTTTTCAAACTATTTTGAAATTTTATATCTATAACAATAATATAATATATTTTACCTTGTTCACCAATGTTTTCCATGGACACTACAGAAATAAATAGAAAAAAAAAAAGAAGATAGATAATTGGTTATACAAAGCTTACAGCAAATATAGGGCCTGACAGAGTCATAAGGCATTTAAGTAGGTTAATAATTTGGCTTCCCTTCAAACCAACATTTTAAAAATATTTGTTCAACTTTATTTAGAGGAGCGGTGAGCACTGTGTGGAGAGAGGGTGGAGAAGGGAGATGGACGGCTACAGCCAGCCACGCCTCTACTGCGCACTTTAGCCGGACTCCCACGCAGCAAAACAAAACTCTGCAAGTGTGTGCCTTGTGGGTCTTATTCCTTTATCTGCTGGTTTATTGGTTTTCCTTCCAGCTACAGAGTACAGATAAATGCAGTGTTCTCCAGGTCATTACATTTCCAGAGACATTTATTGCTCTTTATAAATTGGCAACCACCTAGTTAGCTTCCCACAGAGAGTAAAATGTTGTGTCCACAGCACATACTCTTCAAATTTTTCAAACTACAAATTCTTATGCCCAGTGACTCTAACTGCCCCTGATTGTACAATGAGGGGCCCAGGCATTGCATGGAAAACTGCCATCCCTTAGGGGTTGTTGTAAATATTCCAAGGTAGCAGGTAGATTAGGACAGGGGCCACAAGAGCTAAAACAAGCTTGGATAAGAAACTGTTTTAGAAATCCAGTTTTCTTACCTTTCCTATTGTCTATTTGTTTTGATTCCCATTTGGGCTTCTTCTGTATTAAAGTCTTTTGAAAGTTTTGACCTATCTCAGCTGTACCAAGGCAAGGTTTGACTTTATGTATTTTCGTTCCTACTCAGCTTTTAAAAGGGTACGGGATTCTAGGTCTTAATCCTGGAATGAAATGCCATTGCCTTAAGGAGCACTGGAATCAGAGGGTAATGTGAGAGATTTTTGAGATTACCTGATCCAACTAACCTCCTTCCCAAGAGAACTACTGAATGTCAGTTTAAGCATTTCTAGAGCCAGCAGAAGCCCATGGCTTTGGAAAGCGGGCCATTATTGGATTGCTCAAGAATAAGAAAATTAGTCCGTATAGTGTGCTGAAATTTATCTCTTTGTGGCTTCTACCTGTGGTATCTGGGCTTTGAATCTGTAGCAATAAAAAAATCTAAATGACAGACTGTAAGGAAAGTAAAACCAGTGTAAAATAAAGAAAAGTTTAGTCAGGTTCATTCGCCTCACATCTGTTACAAATGGGCAAGATTCAGCACATCCACTAGAAGCAAGTTATAAAAGTAGTGTAATGTGTCCATTTACTGATTCGGCACGTTTGTTGTAGTTATGTTATGCATTTGGCTTGTGGCCACCATTGTGTACTTGTGATATCAAAAAGACAACTGCTCTGAACTGCTGGTCAGCAGAGCACAGCAGAGCATGGAGGGTCAGTGGATCAAAGGATGAGCCTGAGCTTGTCTTGGAGGAATTAAGCAAGTCTGTGAAGCTCACATCTGAAGAATAAAGTATGTCTACCTTGCATAAAGCTGCCAGGGTCTTCTTTCAATTACCTGACTCATGACCTGCACAGGAAGGGGGAGAAGAATCTGAGATTCCTGCCCAACACAGACCTTCACGTATATAAAGTTATTGTGTCCCCCTTAAATGTTCCCTTTTAGCCCAAATAATCTAAGGTTTCCAGATCTCTTAGCAACCTTGATAAGGCATCTTGAAATGTTTCCTAGGTTCAAATTCTCTTTCACATTTCTGATCCAGAATGGGAAGGGCAGGCACGGATCATCATTGACTTACAGATGGCCTCGGGGAACTTTCCTATTGGTTTACTTATCTTTTAGTTATTGAGAGCCTTTTATATATTCTAGACAGTAATCTTCTATCTGTTATACATGTTGCAAATAAAGTTGTGTATTAACTATAAATACTAGCAAATTTTATGACTTATTTGCTGATAAATAACAGTATCAAAGATTTCAAATTAACATTTTATTAATAGATCCATGGACTATACTAGGTTTTGCTTTATGATACTTAGGAAATGAATGTTCTCACAAACATGTTTACTTAATTGTAAGTCAGCAATTCACCCTGTAATTTTCAGTTTAATGGCAGAGTTGTCAATTTCAAAGTTTCCTTTCTCATTGTGTAAAAACAGATAAAATACAATATTATTTTCAAATGCAAATATTTTTGTTTATAAGTGACTGTTTAAGAAAAGGTTGCTAGTTAGCCTCAAATACTTTTCTAGTATATATGTATATAAAGGTAATATTGTATATGGAAAATACAGACTTAGTTTTGAAAAATATAGATGATAATCAAATATAAATTGCTTTTTTATATCAACATGAGAATTAAATAACAGTACTAGACATATTTATGATGTATCTTCCAAAAATAACTACTGGGTTTTAATGTGAATTTTGAGGCTTCATCCAGTATTATTTAATTTTATTATTATTATTATTATTTTTATTTATTTATTTATTTATTTTTTGTCTTTTTCCATGTCCGGCCACGGATCACAACCCTCAGTGTCGCCCCCGTACCGGACCGGGACCGGCAACGGGATCGCAACCCTCGGTGTTGCCCCCGCGCCTCGCTCAGCCAGTGAGCGGGAACCGGTCTGTATGTGGGATCCGAACCCTCGGCAGGAGCGCCTCCGCGCTTCCCAAGCGGCGCACTAGCGCAGTGCGCCACCGGGCCAGCCCTAATTTTATTATTTACTTCACAGATAGAATTTCAGTTTGGTCTATTTAAAAATTATGCTGATACTTATTCTCCAACTGTACAATAGAGAAATCTCAAATGTTTTATAACCATTCTTATCACATTTTCTTAAACTAGCTATTTAGGCAAATTAATTAGTTATTTCTATTTTCTATTAAAAGAAAACTGAGATTTACTGAGTTTTTATTGAAGCAAATGAGTTTTACTCAAAATCAAAATGGGCAGCACATTAATTCTTTTACTTTCAATTTTAAAATTTCATGAATGTGACAAAATCATTATGGCTTTGGGTTTTAGGGGATCATATTAAAATTAATTCCTCATTAAAGTACAATAATTGGCATAGAGCATCTGCTCCATAAATGTTTACTGAACAAAACAGTGATTTAAACAGACAAAAACACAACTAATATGAATCACATGAAAATGGTATATCAAAGCAGACTTATGAGAAATGTTCATTCTTTCTTCCGTGGGCATGAAAACCTCAAGAAGTTACTTCTATTATCCTGTTAGCTTAGCACGCTGTAGAAACTCAACTAGTAATTGATTAACTCAAAAGAAATCTTTTCTGTATTTCTCTGCTAGCATATTTCTCCATAAGTGAAGAAAATACCTCTCTAAAGAGAGAGGGGAGAAGACAAGGAGGTTCATGTTCCTTCAAAAAGAAAAAGGTTGAGGGAGAAAATGGCTTCAACTGAGCTTTGAGCAACTTTGAAAATAGAAATTTTCTATGAGTTTACAGCTTCCCCCGCTCCCCATTTGTTTTTTCCTTAGGCTTTTACTTATTTTAGTTTGATTTGCCAAAATGAAAGAGAGACCTATCTTTGATGGATCAAAGGATGAGCACAATTCCTAAATATTTTGATACACATTTCAAATTACAGTAAAAAAAATTAAATGATTGTCATTATCAATCACAAAAAAAAAAAACCACTCTGAGAACCCCAGTATCTTCACACACTAGTCAATAATGCTTATATATTTATTATATCCATTTTTTTCTTTCCTAGTAATTTCTTATGGAAAGTTGCAATTTACTTTGGAAAATATATGGACCTTTGTGTATTTATTTCAAAACCAATCATATTACTAAATTTATTTAAGGTGCCATAGTAGTTATTTATTCTATCTATTTTCTTGGAATTTTTAGGTGAACAATATTTTAAGGATATCATAGCATTTTGTCTACTTTTCCAAGTTTAGCTCTTAGTTCTGTGTTCTTTCTTATGGCACTGTTTAGACCTTTTGATACAATATTCTGTAAGCTGATATTTCTCTCATTTTTGCTACCATGATTTTAATAACGCTCATGTTTTTTACTCTATATTATTGCCTATTGGTTTAAAATAAAATTCAATTATGCAATGAAAAAAAGAAAAAGAGACTAATACTAAGCATAACAGTACTAAAGAGCAAATGCTCTGGACAAAAACAGGCCAAGTTCAATTTCCTCTCTGTTACATACCAGCCTGCACAAGCCCTTCCACTTATTCCATTGTAAAATGAGTGCAATAATAACAATAGCAATATCGTTAGGGCTATTGTGACAATTAAAAGAGGTAATGTATGAAATGTTCCTAACATAGTGCCTGGCACATAGTAAGCCTGCCAAATACACAAACAATTATATTATTTAATCCTGCTAATATTAACTATAACATATAGGAAAGGAGGCTAGAAATGAAGAACAATTACGGAGAGAAAAGTAACATTTGCACAGGCTTTTGAGAGAAATACATGCAAAATTTTGAATGAAAATAGACTTTACAAGTGAAAATAAAGGTGAAAAAGAATCTAAGTCTGAATAAGTCAGTTACCTTTTTGTACAGATGTCACTCCAGAAACTTTAGTATAAGTAAAAAGGTGATACTCATCCTTCCCCACAGTGCAATGATGAGACATGAAAGCTACAGCCTTGACGCAGCAGTTAGTGCTTGTGGAAACTTCTTGCAAAAGTGAGATCTATTTCAGATGTGATACTGTTTAACTTAATGAATAAAAACAATTACTTTAAAATATATATGCCTAAATCTTACATTCATCTCAAAGAAGCTGGACACAATTTACTCTTGGGTGTAAGAGCACTGTTGTTATGATACTAAAATATTTAAAACCATTTGTACATCTGGTGACCATCGCAATATGAGGACAATAGTAACACCATGGGTCAGAATTTTAATTTTCATTTCTAAAACTTATTTGCCTAATTTTATCTTGGATTAGCCCAATTTCTTTCTGGTCCATGTCCTACAATGATAATACTTAGCTTTAGAGATTTCTAATCTTCCAATAACTCTAGAACTTAAAA